ACCTGTATGCAGGTCAGGAAACAACAGTTAGAACTGGACATGGACCAACAGACTGGTTCCAAATAGGAAAAGGAGTATGTCAAGGCTGTATATTGTCACCCTGCTTATTTAACTTATATGCAGAGTACATCATGAGAAACGCTGGGCTGGAAGAAGCACAATCTGGAATCAAGATTGCTGGGAGAAATATCAATAACCTCAGATATGCAGATGACACCACCCTTATGGCAGAGAGTGAAGAGGAACTAAAAAGCCTCTAGATGAAAGTGAAAGAGGAGAGTGAAAAACTTGGCTTAAAGCTTAATATTCAGAAAACTAAGATCATGGCATCTGGTCCCATCACTTCATGGGAAATAGATGGGGAGACAGTGGAAACAGTGTCAGACTTTATTTTTTGGGGATCCAAAATCACTGCAGATGGTGATTGCAGCCGTGAAATTAAAAGACACTTACTCCTTGCAAGGAAAGTTATGACCAACCTAGATAGCGTATTGAAAAGCAGAGACATTACTTTGCCTACAAAGGTCCGTCTGGTCAAGGCTATGGTTTTTCCAGTGGTCATGTATGGATGTGAGAGTTGGACGGTGAAGAAAGCTGAGCGCCGAAAAATTGATGCTTTTGAACTGTGGTGTTGGAGAAGACTCTTGAGAGTCCCTTGGACTACAAGGAGATCCAACCAATCCATCCTAAAGGAGATCAGTCCTGGGTGTTCATTGGAAGCACTGATGCTGAAGCTGAAACTCCAATACTTCTCCACCTCATGGGAAGAGTTGACTCATTGGAAAAGACCCTGATGCTGGGAGGGATTGGGGGCAGGAGGAGAAGGGGATTACAGAGAATGAGATGGTTGGATGGTATCACTGACTCGATGGGCATGAATTTGAGTAAACTCCGGGAGTTGGTGATGGACAGGGAGGCCTGGCGTGCTGCGATTCATGGGGTCGCAAAGAGTTGGACACGACTGAGCGACTGAACTGAACTGAACTTACTACCGTGTGAGATGAGTGCAATTGTGCGGTAATTTGAGTATTCTTTGGCATTGCCTTTCTTTGGGATTGTAATGAAAACTGACCTTTTCTAGTCCTGTGGCCACTGCTGAATTTTCCAAATTTGCTGTCATATTGAGTGCAGCACTTTCACAGCATCATCTTTCAGGATTTGAGATAGCTCAACCGGAATTCCATCACCTCCACTAGCTTTGTTCATAGTGATGCTTTCTAAGGCCCACTTGACTTCACATTCCAGGATGTCTGGCTCTAGGTGTGATCTCACCATCGTGATTATCTGGGTTGTGAAGATCTTTTTTGTACAGTCCTTCTGTGTATTCTTGCCACCTCTTCTTAATATCTTCTGCTCTGTTAGGTTCTAATTCCACTAGGTCCCTCTAAATATAATGATGCTACTTCCTGTCCACACATAGTGTTGTGGTTTTGCTTCAATAACCAAGGATGACTTTAGCAAGTGTGAAGGCAGCATATTACATTGACCTTTATTTTACCCATTCTGGTTTTCTCTCCTTTCTGAAGGCTCAAGGCTTCTTCTGTTGTCACTTCCTCTCTGTCTGGAAAACTTTAAGGGTAGGCTTTCTAGCAACAAATCCTCTTAGGTTTCATTCATATGAGCATATCCTGATTCTCTTTCATTTCCAAAGGATATCATTACTGGAAAGAGAACTGAAATTTGTTTTCCAACTTCCTCCTGGTTTGTATGGTTTCAAATAGGAAGTCTGCCATCCTTGGAGTCGCTATGACCCCAGCATACCGTCCTTTCTAGCTGGTTGCTTTCAGGAGTTCTTCTTTCTCTGCAGTTTCTGAACATTAATTAGAATGGCTCTTGGTGTAGATTTCTTTGAGTTTATCTAACTTTGGATTTCTTTAGCTTCTTTAATCAGTAGGCTTGTCCATTGTTCCATTTGGGGGTTTTCAGCAAGCATTTATTCAGCACATTCCCTCACTTCTCTGCTTCTGGGAATCCAATGATACAAATGTCAGGTCTCCTGTTATTATCCCACAGGTCCTTGAGGGGCTCTATTTCATAGCTTACTCTCTTTATTTTCAGTTTCAATTCTGTTAATTCTCTCCTCTGTTGGATGGCATCACTGACTCAATGGACTTGAGATTGAGCAAACTCCAGGAGATGGCAAAGGACAGAGAAGCCTGGCATGCAGAAGTCCATGGGGTCACAAAGAGAGGGACACACCTGAGTGATTGAACAGCAACTCTGCTCTGTCATCTCCATCCTACTATGGAACCATTAAGCCAGTTTTTTATTTTAGAGATCTTATTTTTAGTTCTATTATTTCCATGTGGTTCTTCTCTACAACTTCTTCTTTGCTGAGATTTCCGACTTTTTATTTTTATCAAGAGAACTTGTAATTCTTTGTTGAGACATTTTCATAATGGCTGGTTTAAAATTCTTGTCTGAACATATTAACATGTGATTCATTTCAGTGTTAGTGTCTGTTGACTATATTTTATCATCCAACTTGCAGGTTTCCCACTATTTGGTTTGATGCTTGATTTTTGGTTGTATCTTGGAGATTTAAGAGATTATATTATGGCAACCTGGATCTTGTTAAGTCTATTTTTAGCAAGCAGGTTGAGAGGGCCAAGTGAGTGTATATAATTAGTTTCTCTAAGCCCTGATGATACCACCCCAGAAAAAGTAGGAGACTGATTCCCAGCACCTTGTTTCTTAAGACCTACTCTGCTGGGCATTGGTAACACCAAGTGGGGATCAGGGTTGGGGAAAATTCACATTGCTGAAAGGGGCTGAAGCTCTGCTTCCTCCTTTGTCCAGTCAACACCATTCCCACAGACACCACCAGGCAGCCTGCCCCATGGGAGCGTGATGGGGGTGAGGGGGGCTGTGAAAGGTCTGCTTGCACATGAACCTGTTGGAATCACAGGGAGGAAGGAGAATGTGAAGTTTTTCTGGCTTTGATTGGAATAATGTTTTCTATTGTTAGTCATCCTTCACCACCATTTTCAGGCTAAGGGGAACTGACTTTTCTTAGAAGTTTGTCTTCTGTGCCCATTGGTGGTTCTGGGCTGGGGGTGCTGAAATGTCTGCTCGTCCTCCAGGATGTCAAGTAGGTGATGAGGACTCACTGTCACCCCAGGCTTGGGCTCTCTATCCGGCCCCACCGGCTTTCTCTTTCTATCCCCTCAGTCTTCTTGTACTTATTTGTTGGGGTATGGTCAGAAATCCTTACCTGTAAGAGGGAGAAATTGGGAGGAATGGAGCTATTCCATCTTAACCAAAACCAGAGCATTTTCTTATAGTTTTTAATCCATTAGGATAAAATGAAAAGGTAATAAAGAGATATTTCCTGTGAATTAAGCTTATCACTGGCAAGTGTTTCTAAATCTCAGCAATACTGATGTTCGGGAAGAACTGGTTCTCTGTGGGGGGGCTGCACTGCATGCTTCATCTCCATCCATTCGATGCCAACGGCACAGCTATCCCACATCCTGATCATGACATGCCTGCAGATATCGCCAAGTATCACCCAGGAGGCGGTCACTCATTGTTGAGAAGCATGAACTGTGATCAACCAAAAATGCTTCATATACCTACAAACATGTGTGTGTGTGTGTGTGTGTGTGTGTGTGTAAATAGGATATTTTATTTATTCTTCCAGAAAAATAACAAATTCTAGTGAGTCTCTCATTTTTAAAAGGTATGATCAACAGATATCTTGCCAAAGTATCTGAAACTTGCTGTACAACTCAAGAGGTCACTACTGGCTACCTCTGAGAACACAAGCCTGTCACACCAGCTCCTACAGAAGAGATTTTCACACTCTCATTTACTTAAAGTTGCAAGTATCCAAAGGCCCTCTTGTCTAAACATGTTACATTCATAGAAAGAAAAAACAAAAAATGCTCACAGCCCCTATCAAATTAGTGATGCCATCAACTCTGTCATATCAGAAGCTGAGGAAATATACCTAGAGGTTAACAAGAGTCAGAAAGAAAACCAGAAAATTCCAGCAGCCAGTAAACAGGGCCGTGTGGACAGGAAACTGGTCACGGTGGGCAGAGAGGGAAACCTGGGAGGGAGGGCTGTGCTGCTGTCCGTGGTCCTGGAGGTCCTGCCGTTGGGGGGGCTGTGTCTGCTAATCCCACATCCCTCGGGGTCCCGCCCACCGGAATGTGAGACCAGGTGAGGGGAGAGGGGGAGAGAGAAGAGTGGAAACAGGCGGGGAGAATCCTGAGAAGCACACAGAGGGAGGGCCTTTTTTCAAACACCCAGGTGCAAGGTTTATTTCTACAAAAACTGCCAAGAGTGGCTCTTTGCTTTTCAGTTTCACTCTCAAAAGATAAAAATTAAAAAGGTGGTTCACAGCACAATCTATGAGCCATGTTAGTGTGAGATTCTGGCTTTCTGCTTCAGTCCTGGTCTCTCCTCCTTATACCACCTCTGACACAGCATCGTCCTAGTAAATGAAAAGCCAGGATAACAGCCCCATGAAGTGAGAGTTGCTCAGTCATGTCCAACTCTTTGCAACACTGTGGACTATACAGTCCATGGAATTCTTCAGGCCAGAATACTGGAGTGGGAAGCCCTTCCCTTCTCCAGGGAGTCTTCCCAACCCAGGGATCAAACCCAGGTCTCCTGCATCACAGGTGGATTATTTACCAGGTGAGTCACAAGGGAAGCCCAACACTCCAGTTCAGTTTAGTTCAGTTCAGTCGGTCAGTTGTGTCTGACCCTGCAACCCCATGAACTGTAGCACGCCAGGTCTCCCTGTCCATCACCAACTCCCACAGTTTACTCAAACTCATGTCCATTGAGTCAGTGATGCCATCCAGCCATCTCATCCTCTGTCATTCCCTTCTCCTCCCGCCTTCAATCTTTTCCAGCATCAGGGTCTTTTCCAACGAGTCAGCTCTTCGCATCAGGTGGCCAAAGTATTAGTGCATCCAAACACCCCCTTGGATGGACCCAAATGGCTGATTGCAGCCCCTTTGCCTGCTTTACTCTTTCCTGCTCACCTTCAGCTCCTTGAGAGGTGAGCTTTCGTCATCTGTGTCCTGGAAGCAGGTTTCATCCAAGCAGCTCGCTGAGCAGGGCACGAGGAGGAAGAGGCGCAGAGAAGACAGTGGAGCCTCGCCAACGGCCCGCAGCTCGCACTCTGGACGCCGGGCAGATGTACAGATGGAACTGTCGGCAGTGGAAATACAAAGAGAAATACTGCTCTTTCTATTATCCACAGGCTTCCCAGGAGCTGTTTGCCTCGTTGCCATGGCATGGGCGGTGAGATTTCATAACTCTCCCCCTGCCTGCCATGTGCTCCACCAACAATGCGAATTTAATCAGCCCAGACAGTCGGTCGGGTTTTGTCCATGTGAGTGGAATAAAACTTTTCTCACCAGCTAAACCCACAAAGTATCTAAAAGCCATAAATAATCGGTAGCCTCCTAACTTGCACCTGCCCGCTCTGTTTGACCAGGGCTACGAGGGGCAGGGAACGACTGTGGTTCCCATGCACTGCCTGGCTCTCCCGGTCATGAGGCCCAACATGTTTGCAGTGGAAAACATTCATGCTGGTCAGGGATGTATTATTTCTGAGTGGCAGAAATAATTCTGCTCCAAGCGATTATCTTAGATGGAAAAATCTTCACAAATATCCCTTACACAGGTCTAAGAGAATGACCAAAGGATGGTAAGATGAGAGAAAAACATGTCAGAAAGATCGTCCGAAAGGTTGGAGACGGCGGGAGTAAATTTCACTTCCATCAGTAGAAATGGAACCAGAACACTGAAATTCTACCCTTTCCTTTATGGTGAAAGATGCCAATAACACTGGTCAGTGAGCTAGTAACAGAGGACCCAGAACTGAGTTTATTCATCACACCTGGAACTGTATGAAAATTTTTGCATCTTTTCAGAAAATAATCTGCCCTATTTTGAAATGATAACAATACAATATGATCAAGAAAAACTTCTTCTGAAAAAAGCCACCTTATATTTGCATATCTTTAGGGATGGTACTAGATTTAAATATACAGTAGTGGATATTTAGATGTGTTTATTTTTATGTCTCTATCCTGTGATACAAGGTTATGAAATTCCCAAAAGCCTGTTAAAAACATATTCACTTTCTGGTCAAGTGCCCATGAAATTCCTCTGTGTGTTTTTAATGTATGAAAAGGCCAAAAATTATAAGACATAAAAAACACTTCTTTGACACAAAACTAGGAGATAGAATTTTAATGAATTTATCTGCTGATCCATTTTTTCAAAAGAATCAGAATATTTCCATTATAGATTACCAAAAGTGTCTTTACTTCTGAGTGACAAAGCAGAAAGAGGGACAATTATTTAAGCTATTTCTCAGTTCAGCTCCAATTAAAAAATAGGAAACAAATAATAGGATATTTGAAAGGTGACTTTCTTAGGTTAGAAGTTAGAAGTGTTAGTTACTCAGTGGTGTTCAACCCTGTGACTCCATAGACTGTAGCCTACCAAGGCTTTGTCCATTGGGATTCTCCAGGCAGGAATACTGGAATAGGTTGCCATTTCCTTCTCCAGGGGATCTTCCTAACCCAGGGATTGAACTTGATTCTCCTGCATTGCAGGCAGATTCTTTCCTGTTTGAGCGGCCCAGGAAGCTCCCTTTTTAGGTACTAGATTACTAATCTGAAGAGCTCCACTTTGACAAAAAGCAAGTGGCAGCAGATGGACCTTATGAAAACTTCAAGCATGTGAAGGAGTGAAAACATCATTAGAAGGTGGGAACCAGACACAGGGGCCATGCTGCTGTCTTGTCCTCTCCCTCATTGCTGCCCCACCTCCCCAAGCCACGGGCCACACTCTCCACCCATCTCTTCAGACCTTTGATGTGGTTGCAACTGGTTTCCCGTGGAAGACATTAACAAAACAGATCCTCACTTTGAGTTGAGACACTGCCCAGGGAATGCTTGTGAAGTGAGGGAAACCAATAAGCCCCCTGCAAATCTCACCTGGAGCCTGGGCATACTGCGGGATGACACACAGGCACCTGACCCCTGCTCAGGCCTGGGCAGGCGTCCTCCACACAGGATGGGGTGATGGTCAGCCTCCCTCAAAGCTACAGGGGTTCCATGAAACTAATCCACTGCTCTAAGCAAAGTGAATTCAGAAGTGGGACCCTGAAAGCACCTCTCAAAAGACACCAAATAATGTTTAGTGACATTGAATGAACAACAGTCTCAGGAGGAACACTGAAATGGAATACTTAACATCCAGCACATAGTATGTGGCCACTGTGGGTCTGCTTTCCTATAGAGTTTTCACACAGGTGAAAAGAAGTCATCTCACCACTAGGCAAGTTCCATCTCCCACTCTGTTTGTGGTTAATAACAAGGATACTGAAGCTGAAGCTCCAACACTTTGGCCACCTGATGCGAAGAGCCAATTCACTGGAAAAGACCCTGATGCTGGGAAAGATTGAGGGCAGGAGGAGAAGGGCATGACAGAGGATGAAATGGTTGGATGCCAGCGCCAACTCAGTGGACATTAAACTGAGCAAACTCTGGGAGATAGTCGAGGACAGAAGAGCCTGGCGTGCTGCAGTCCATGGGTCACAAAGAGTCAGACACAACTTAGTGACTGAACAATAAGGAGTCTGGTGAATCGTGTTGCTGGGGCAGAGGTACGCATATTTATTATCATTTCCATTGAAATGCACCAGTTTCAACTTGTGGATTTTTGAGCAACAAGAATAAAAAGGAAACTGGTCTTTATCTTCCATTTTCACCTTGGCCAAACTCTACACTGAGCAGAAAGTCAGCACGACCGGAAAGGACCTACCCAGGATTAAGCCTGGGGCTGTGGGTCCTGTCCACTTTAAGAGGTGTTATTACTTGCCAAGTACAGAGCTGAGACTCCAAATGGTTAAAGAGCAATGCTCTGGGCCACAAGCAAAATGAAAACTGGATCTTTAATCAAAACATCTGAAACCACCTTGACCAGCTCGTCACCAGTGCCTCCACCATCCCCGGGACAGACCCACTTGACCTGCTTTAGCAAACAGCCTGTCCAGTCGATGTTCCAGCTTTGGTTCTCAGGTCATACAAGGCACTGCCCTTGATTGGCATCTTGGTTGACCCAGCAGCTCTGAGACAGTCAGGAGGGCAGGAGGTGTGGCTCTGCTGGATTGAGGTGGACGTGGAGACACAACCTTCCAGAAGCAGTCCCTGCATTTTCTGCTCCCAACTCCTCTGGTCAAGGTGAACTCTACCAGCCCTGTCGTCTGACATTGCCTCGTGCCGGCACTGGGCAATCAGGGCTGCAGGCTCCAGAGGCCCTGGTCCAGGCAGGTACAGATGAGCCCTGTACAACAAAGAGGTTTCTTTATAGCAAGAATGTTCCCTGTATGGGCCATGAGGCCCCCAGGCCCACCAATGACCCAGCTTCCTCCTTCCTTGTCATGGGTGCCCGGAAAGGGTACAACAGAGCCAAGGCCCCCATGCCCGCATTTCCGGGGAATGTGTCAGTGAAGGCGGGGGAAGATGAACTCAAGACAGGCCAGCGGAGGCTGAAAAGACCACCAGTGCGAAGCAAAGATGCCCATCTCCACACAGCATGTGCCGTAGGGCATAATTTAGAGACACATTTAGCAGGGGAAGGAGAGGGTGAGAGTCTGTCCTAAAGAAGCGCGGTCCTGGGTGCGCAGGTGCTGCTTCTGAGGCCAGTGTGATCAGGCAAGCCCGTAGGCCAGTCCTGCCCCAGGACTCTGCACGACGGACCTCCTGGGGTCTGCAAGAGCATGGTCAGTGCCCAGCTTCTCCTCAGGGATGGCAGATTGCCTGGGATGGCCCAGGGGTGGCCTGGGGTTGCAGGACACACCCATGGGCTGGCACCCTGGCCTGTTTGTGCTTTTTTCTAGCACTTGGCAGAAATGCCCCCAGGCACTGGCGTTCCCCTGCAGAGATGCACTGGTGAGTGAAAGAGCCGCAACCTCTTTTACACGCTGACCATAATTAAGGGCAAGGGGAAATACCCCTCTGCACCTAGCCGCTGGTCCCGCCTCACCCTTCACTGGTGCAGCAACGATGTTCCCTGTGCAGCAAGCACGCTCCGCGTACCACAAGGAAGCAGAGCTTTGCATTGCCGGTGCCTGGATGGTAGCTGCTGGGGGTCTTCTGCATGAGCTCCCTTTCTCTGGGGCTTCTGACACGGTGAAGTCTCTGCTTAATTGCTAGGGCTACAGTAACAGACTATTACAGACAGTGACTTCTATTCTCCCCCAGTTCGGAGGCCAAAGTCTCGTCCGCGGGCTGGCAGGCTGGCTCCCTGTCCACGTCCTCTGCCCTCCACTGCTCCACGGCCTGCAGGGCGCCGCCCCCGGTGCCAGCCCTCCTGGTCCCACAGCGTGCATGTCTGCGTGCTGTCTCTTCCCGCATCTGTGTCTCTAGGTGCAAGCATCTCTTTTCAGTCAGGACACAGTCATACCGAATTAGGGCCCATCCTCTGCAAACACCCCATTTCCAAACAAAGTCACGTTCACAGGTCTTGGGGCTTACGACTTCAACACGTGCATTTAGGGGGACACGTGGCACCGTAGCTGGAGGACGAAAGACCCTGATCTCAGAGAACAGTCACAGGCGAGGGATTTCCACTCCAGATATACTCAAAGGGGAGGTGTTGAAGGGTCCCCAGGTCTGGGAGGGCATCATTTCTGCCTTTGAGGCACCAGCACTTGGAGTGGCTGCAGACCCCTGCCCCAAGCCAGGACACTGGCCCCACAGCAGCTTCGTGACAGGGTGGGTCAAAGACGCAGGAAGGCGGGTTCCCTTCCCAACACTGCTCTGCTATTTATCGCATCCCAGTGTAAAAAGTCAGAAGAAGCTGCGAATAAAGAAAGGGACTTTCCCTGGGGAGCTGCTCCTCTTTCACTCTTCTTCCCCTACCTGCTCCTCCAGATTTCACACTGTCCTGACCCTTTCATCACCAGGCGGGTTCAGGGCAACTCTGCAGCCTTGAGTGGCACAGAGCAGGTGGGGAGGCGGATCCTGAGGGCCCAGCACGGCGGCCGGCGGTCAGCTCTGCTCAGGGCCTGTCATGGGTCCCCAAGCCCCCCTCCACTGCAGGTCCCCAAGCCCCCCACAGGGTCCCATGGGCACCAGACGGGCACCACTGCTCCCCACGGAAGACCCTGGACAACAGAGGGGACGGGACGTAGGGCCGCCCACGTGTGCTCTGAACGGGCTGGCACCTGTGAGCTATGAGGTGCCATTCAGAAGCAGCCTCGGAACCTCAGCGCAGCCCTGGAGAAAGCAATCTGGGGCCGCAGCGGGTCCAGCCCCTGAAACGCAAGGCCTCCCTTCTTGCCCATTTGGCGCAGCCCCGGGCCAGCCAGGAAGACTCACCAGCCTCAGCCCGGGGCCTGTGCCCGTATTAGCAATTCACTGTCAACCGGTAGAGAGTTTGCCAAAGAATAATAGATGCTTTACATTTTATGCATAACTAGTTCTGAGACCAGGGCTATAAAAGTTTTCTATTAACATGTAAGCACTAAGACAAGTTTTTTTTTTAACTTGATAAATATACATAACTCCTTTACAATGGGGCTCTTGTATTGCTAATGGGGACCCTTAATGGAGAGTTATATTTCCAGGATTATATCTTTATTCAGTTGCAAATGATTTTTGAAGGGGGGAGTTTTAATACTCTGCTCCCTCTATGAATAATAGTATCATTTGAATGCAGGGGACACCTGGTCCCGCGAGGAGGACAGTGGGGGCCCTACACGGACCTGGCAGGGCTGCCAACTCTGCGTTTTCCCAGCCTCCCCTATCCGCTCCATTCAGCATCTAATTTCATTCTCCCTCAGCAAAATGCTAGACACTTGTAACTTTATTCTCCCTCTGCAAAAACTTGCTCTCTTGTAAGGAAAAAATGCTGGAAAAAAAATTTTCTCTTATCAATCTCTTCTTATATGGAGTCTCGTAATTTGAAGGCTGGCTAAAGTTTCAGGAAAAACCTTCCAATTAAATACTGTAAAAAGATAAAATAACAGTGGCCTTGCCGCTGCCCACTGGCTTTATTGAAGCGCTCTTTTGTTGATTTATTGTACATTAGCCACTGAGCCGTGCAAAGAACATTACGTTTCAGAAAGAGCTATTCGTATGCGGCCCGCATCCACTCCAAAAACAATCAGGCCTGTATTGCGTTTTGCAAATTTATACCAGGATGTTGGTTTAGAGTGTTTCCCTGAAAAGTTTTTCAAGTAAGTGTCTGCTTTCATGGGGGAGAGTGATTGAGGCACACAAACAAACCTTTGTTTCAAAACTCACAGATGTATGGCCGGGGCTGGGCTTTGTTTTCTCTTTAAGAAGTATTCTCAGATTTTTGTTTTGAGCACAACACAGGATTGTACCAAAAAAAATCAGCTTGAGGATGAATGTCTTGTATAATCTTTGGCTTTCCCAGATTTTCCCAGGGTTAATTTTTCTACTCCAAACTTTGCCTGTTGGGTTGGTTTGCGTGAGTTTTGGGGTTTGTTTGTTTGTTTTGTTTTTTAAATTCGGGCCCACAGTGAAAAGGAATCTGGCTGCTTCAACTCTTAATGGCTTCAGGAAACTTCATTTCAATGTTATCTGGGGGTCAGCAAGCTCCATCAGTACCCTCCAGTTGGGGTCCCGGTCTGCCTCTCCCTCGCCTGCATGAGGATCTCTGTCCAGGACACCCATGAGCCCCAGGCCAGGATGTCCCGGGGGCAGCACTGGGGTGGAAGGAGGGCAGGGGGCAAACTGTTTATACTCCGAGCCAGGCATCCTTGGGAGCGTGAAAGCAATTCCTCCTCCCCAAGAGATGAGGTGTCTTTGCATTCCACGTGGTCACAGGTTCAACCAAAAAACACTTGTGCATAGACTTGTATAGAGTGAGCAGTTAGGAGAAAAGTCTCGTGGGGGCAAAGCCAGGAAGTGGGAGGCCTGCCCGTGGCCCAGTGCCCGAGGTCATCCGCGGAGCAGGGAGCTGTCTGGTGGCCGGGCGTTGGCACTGGCGTCAGCCTCCCCAGACAGCCGAGGCTCAAGTCTGCATCCAGAGACCGATCGGGTGTCCATCCCCGCACAGGTCAGGGCAGCAGGACAAGCCTGTGAAGGAGCAAGGCTCTTGTCCAACCGCAGTGCCCCGGAGCCCGCAGCCCACACGGGAGCCTCGCTCAGAGAGGTCGTGGAGCCCCCCAGTGCCCACCTGGAACGTGATGGCCTCCCGCGGTGTCAGTGTGGCTGGGGGGCTGGTGTGAGTGAAAGGCAGACGCCAGACACCCAGCGAGGGTGTGAGTGTAGGCGCGACTGGCTGAATGGAGTCACAGCTGAGTTGAGGTTGGTCATTGTCCAGTTTCATTACAAATTAGTGACCACTGATCATGCCCTTTTCATACTCATGTTTTATTCAGTTATTTTTATCTTCTCCGACTCTCACAGCAACCCTACAAGTCTCATTTTCAACATGAGGAAGTTGAGACTCAAGGGCACTTAAATAATTTGCCCAAGGAGTTCCAGTTGGTATTCAAGTCCAGATTCTTCCAGATGCAAATTCAACTGCTGTCCAACAGTGTGAACTCCTCTGCTTCCCAAGTCAAGGTAGGTGTGGAGACATTCTCATTCCTCAGACAAAGGATATGTTGGCTCATTTGTGGACTCTCTTCCTTAACTTCACTGCCCCCCCCAGAAAATGGTTTAATCAGTTCCTCATTCTCAGTGGAACTGGCTGATTCTGGCATGCCATCAGCCTGAGCCTCTGCTCTCATCGTTTAAAGACCATGACTGAGTCAGGCTGTGCCAAATGGTGCTGTGGTGCGAACAGTCACCGCCGCTTCGTGATCCCAAGACTTCATCTCCCTCAAGTAGCAGAAATGTCCTGTTCTCCCGGGATGTTCAAATCACGTCTAGAAGTGGGGTGTTGGGTTAATCTCTCAGGGGAAAAGACACAGACAGGCGGATGAGATGGGGAGCCAGCAGGTGCAAGGTGGACCACCAGGCAAATGCCTGCAGTCAGAGACCTGGAGGGGGTGAGCCTGGGGCCCTCAAACTGACAGAGGCCACCACTTGCAGTTATTCCAAAGGAGAATGTTCCTGCATCTCAGGTGTGGACCTGCCCACCCTCCCCCCGCCTCCAGCTTCACCAAAAAGCAATGCTCCGAGCTCGCGGATGGCAGTGCTACGAGATCCGTGATTCTGAGAGGAGACACCTGAAATAATGAATGAGACCTCAGAACAGGCTAGGGCCCCAGGAAACATTTGCAAAGTTAAAGGAAATTCCCCTCACCAGGTAAGGGGCTCGTTCAGGATTCACGCATGCAGCTTACATTCCAGAATCCCCTTCAGGACTGACGGACCCGGGTGCAGACACCCTGTCATGTCACCTGCCCTTCAAGTCCTGCCAGGTTCACTGGGACACCTGCCCACCTGATCATCAGTCACTGACAGTTTGGGACCTGGCGCACAAAGCATCTGTCATCACTTAAAGCATTTATTGTCTCAGATCTGAGACTCGTGGCTTACTATCTTTCTCTTCAGGAAACTCACATTCTTTGTGGCATGTTAAAAAAAAAAAGATTTTGTACTGCTGCATTTTGTAATATGGGGGTTGGGGGTTTTGTTTTCGAAACCCCAAATCTCACCACCCACGTCAGAGTCTCAGAAACCCCAGGACACTCCTAACGCCTTCTGAGGATAAGAAAGACACGAGGTGACCCCAAGACGGCAGAGACATCATGGAACGCAAATCTGACCCCTCCCTCAAGTTCACACTCAAGTATTCCAGGAGATACCATGCCAGACATAATTTTCTAAGCTAACTTGTACTATTTCCAACACGAAAGCAAGGCACTTCTTATCAATTGAAAGTCAGCTTTCCAACCACAAGCAGTGTAATGAGAACCTCTTTCGAGTTAGGGCAGATATCCGGGAGCACGGAAATCCATAACTGCTCTCTTATTTGTCCTTTTCAAGGAGGAAACCAGGACCCGCTCCCGATTATCACTCAGCACCTTTGCACCTTTGCAGCCCCAGGGCCAAGCCACACACAGAACTCGCTGCCCGGCAGCCCCAGTCACACCGGCCGGCACCAGTCACACCCAGCCAGCACCAGTCACAGCCGGCTGACACCGGTGCCAGGGGGGCCCTTGAGACGGTCACGC